AATAACATTCAAAACCTCTTTCTTTATCGGGATTAATAATCCTATCATTATAAAACAAAGGCATAGCCAGGATTTTCCTAAAGGGGGGGGGGAGAGGAATAATTAAAAAATTATAGGGGGCTTCGCCCCCAGACCCTATTTGGGCGAGCCTTTGGCCCGCTTTTACCCGGCCTTCCCGGCTTACCTTAGTCTATATATATAGTCATAATTTTTACAAAATAGGAGGTTAATTTTAATAAAAAAAATATAAGCCTGGAACAAATATGAAATATATTTTTATTAATTTATATAAAGTATAACAAATTACTTGTATATACATTAATATAAAAGCATGGTAATACTTTATTCCAAACAAGTATAAAAATTTTTTTTATAAAATGTAAGTAGACATATAGTTGATATTCCTCTATTATATAGAATTAATTACAAAAACTAGGTAAAATTCCACTTTTACAGACATATTTGACAGTTAGAGAATATATTACAGTTGATATTTTAACAAATTTTACTAATCAATATTAATAAATATAGCAACAATTTGCATTCAATTATTTAACGCCATCTATTTATTTTAAATAAAAAATGATATTAAAAATTAATCTTCATATTATTCATCCCACAATGTCTTTAAGAGATATTTTCTGATGTCCTTATCAATATTTTATAGTTTTCTGTAAAATATATAATTCGCTATATTGGTAAAAATTACTTGATTGTTATATGATAAATGTCGTATATTATATTGTGCTTTTATTTTTTGATTTAATTTATGATTTAATTTTATCAATAGTTTTATAATTATATTTAACTATTAAGATAAATAAATTAAAATTACTCACTTTAAAAAAAAATTATATTTGATATATTATATTATTTAGTAATTTTATGGATCTATTATTAATAATTATAATACATTTCACTTTTGTCTTAAGACTTATCTTTGGCTTATATTCCATTTCTTAAAAAACAATTTTGAAATGATTTTTTCCAAAAATGTATAAATTATGATGAATAGTTTTATAAAAAAATATCAACTTTTATATTCTTTCTTTCAAATTATTTTTTAAGATAAAAGTGATAAATCTCTGACCCCTTCCCCCCCCCCCTGGCTACTCCTATGTTATAAAATAATAATCCTTCTTCGAACAAAATATTATCTTTAATTAAAATAAATTTTTTTTAAATCTCCGAAATTATTTTTTATATTATCAATATACCAATGATCTTTAATTAATTTAATAATTCTTTCAGATTGATATCATTGCTTGTTTCACTTACGACTTTACTGCGAGTGAAAGATAAATCTTGTAATAAATTAATTTTTAATTCTCTGATTTTATCTACGAATTTTTTTGTAACTTCATTGGTTTTTGCTCTTTCTACCCCAAAAATGGGACAGAGCGTCGGCAATTTGTTTTGGTTACCAGGTCTATGAATTATCTAATAGTCGTAATTTAAAAGCTTCGTCACCCACCCTATTACACGGTTATTTGTTATTTTATTTAGGTATCTTTTATCACCTAAGATATATTTTAAAGGTTTATGATCTGTAACCAAAATAAAATGTCTTATATAAATATATTGATGAAACTTCTCGATAGCCAACATGATCACCGAAACCTCCCCAATTAATGGTGGCGTAATTCTTCTCAGCCGCCGAAAGTGTCCTCGATGCGTAAGCAATCGGTTTCTCCAGAAATCAATGTGCAATAACATCTCCTAGACCATCTTTGGACTACACAAGAAATAATGACAGGAATATCGGCTAAATAAGAAATTATTGTATCTTTTGATAATAATTTTTTAACTATTAAATATTTCATTTTCTTTAGCTGACCAAATCCATCTCACACTTTTACTCGTTGGTGTAAAGGCGAACAAATAGAATGTAAATTTTTTATAAACGAATCATGGTAATTCACTATTTCAAGAAACGAACGTAATTTTTTAACATTTGGCAGTGTTTTACAATTTTTTATGGCAATAATCTTATATTCTATAGGGTGAATTCCGAATTCATCAATAACATGACCTAAATAAGTAACTGACTTTTCTCCAATTTTAATTTTATCCGTCGTCGCTATCAGTTCAGCTTATCAAATCTTCTTAATTCTAGATTAACTATATGATCAAAATTATTCTCGCCTATAATAATTACGTCGTCTAAAAATACACTAACCATAGAAATTCCCTTTAATAGGTTTTGCATAAAGCGTTGAAATATTATCGGACGCTAGTCAATCTAAATGGGATTCTTTGTAGCGGTAATAACCGACATAAGTCGATTTTACTAAAAGGCCCCTACATTCTGGACTAACTCTGAATTGTAAAATGCATCTCTTACTATAGTCGAAAATATTTTACCAGCCACGATCCTATTTGTCAGATCGACGAAAGTTCATCGTGAATTATCTATTGCTAAATATTTGTTGATTGTTAAACGAAAATCTCCGCATATCCCCACGGCACCCGATTTTTTTTATGATATTAGCCATTGGCGTAGCTCAAGTGATTGGAGTTGTTGTTGGATCCATCTTCTCGATAACGCCTTCATCTAAAAGTCTGTCCAACTTAGTAGTTCGACCCAACGGAAATAGAACTTTCCTTGCTGGTAAAACTATCGGTAATGAGTTCGGTTTAATACGAATAACTGCTTGTTGGAGTTTTATTTCTACTAAATTTTTTTTTAAAATTTGAAGAAATTTCGAAGCAATAGTATTTAAAGTAGAAACATTCATATTTATATTATTAATCGGAACTTCTTCCGGAAGTTTTTATCAAAATCTCTAAGAAAAGGCATTCCAAATATAAGAGAACTCTAACCTTTAATTACTCATATAGGTAAAAATTTTGAAATGATTTTTACTTCAACTTTTACTGTACATTTACACAGGACTTTGGTTTTGATATTACTATATCCCACTAGTTTATACGCAGGCGATAGTATTGGTTTGCCCAGACAACTTCATCTATCACACTACACCGGTATCAAATTTTATTGTAAACTGCAAACCATTTATCTTCGCATCAATGGTAGATTTATTAGGAAATGACAGGCGAGGTGTCCGTGGTAGAATCATCTGTATGGCATGAGCTCTACAATCTTTTGCTATTTGGTTTGCCTTGCAGCATCGAAAGCATATAACTTTTTTTGTATGAAGTTAGGTTTAAAACTAGATTTATAATTATTAGGAATATAATTATTATGATTGAATTTGTTGGCATTATAACTATTATTATTATTATTATTGAATTTGTTGGCATTATAACTATTATTATTATTATTGAATTTATTAATGTTATTATAACTATTATTCCTAAAATACGTGTTTTTGGAACCTTCCGTCGGCTTATGCTTCCTTTTCCAATGAAGACAGCGCGATCGCTAAACACACAGTATCTTCAAAAGTGATATTGCCTTCGGTATATATTGACCGAGGTTCTTTATCCAACTCAGGCAGCTCTACTCCTAAGATAAAAATATCTCTTAAAAGTTTATCAACAGGCCATTTAAAATTACATAATGAGCAAATACTTTATTTGATTGAAATATCTATAATAGTTTCTCCGCCTCTTTTCAAAGTATAAAAATTATTTCGATGTAGGAATACTAGAGATACCCTTAAATATTTTCTCCAAACTATCAAGTAAAGTTATATAATTAATTCTATCTAAATTAATTGGTTAATGGAAATTTTTTTTATTTTAATTAAGTTATCCGTACCTATGTATGCTAATAACAAATCTTTTTTTTTATTTTGATCGACAATATTTTTTACTTTGAAGATGAGTTCTAAATTATATACATAGTCCTGTATTCACTTTTTCTTTGACGAATTCTGAGATGATGCTTCTTAGTTTTTCTTCTGAAATATCAGTCCTCGTTAGGCTTAGTATAATTTTAACCTTTTAATTTAATATGTGTATTATAAATAATCGCCGCCAGTGGGTTTTTTATAATGTGGTTTTTATTAATATATGTAAAATATGAGAAAATATAACTACAACTTTTACAAAATCGTTTATAAATTTAATCTATTACCATAAAGTGTAGCCTTAAACCAAAATAACAAAATACAATTTATTTAAAGTTCTTGCATTAATATCATCCTAGCTTCATGCCATACTCCCTAGCCGGAACATTAAGCCTTTATTTTTATCCCACCTAGCCGTTGAAGATATTATCCACAGTCTCTCCCTTTTAAAGATATTGAGCTATCTCTGGTTTTTACCTTTTGGAATAGCAACAGCTTGTCCCCATATCATATTGATTAACATTTAAAAATATTGAGATTCTCCTTTGGTTACCCGTTACGTTGAATACCTCATTTCGAACACTCTGTCTCCTCATTACTAGTAAATCACTACACATATCCATCGCTCTTCGCATGCAGTTTTACCCTCCATGCGTCGATTGTGGCCAGCCCATCGAATCAAATGCCTACGAACTCTTGTATTACAAGTTATTCCGAATACATCAAACCCACCATAAAACCATTAATAATATTCTCCTAGCTGCCCTCAAAAAATTAATACTTGATTCACTCTTCAATCATTAGACCTCAAATGATAATGCCCACGCCTGGGTGGCATATCCTTTGTCCCCTGATCGAACGGTCTCCCACTAACCTGGGAATACATTTTAATTTTGCAGGGAATTCTGATCTCTATTTTCTACCATCGAAAAAGCAGAAGTTGTTAAAAAAATACGCTGGCCTCACAAACACTTATACCAATAGTCACTAACAACCTTGAGATGTTAGAAAAGGTGGTTCTTAAAAAAACATAATAATGAAAAGAAATGGAGATATATTAGTTTAAAATTCTGGTTTGTTACACCCCACCTGACGTATTTTTCAGTCAGAGTATTGAAGGGTTAAAAGGAAGTTAAAGGAAAGGAAGAAGAAAGAATGGAAATGAAAAGGAAGAAAAGGGATATATTTTTTATATTTATTTATGAGATTAATTAATATTTATAATTTATATTCCACTGATTAAAGTCTCTAACATCGTATGTATCGTTCAAGAATTCCTCCCATATCAATGTAGCGTTAGATCCGCATATTTATAAATCATCATTATCTCATACACATTACAACCAGAATAAAAATTACATACCTAAAGAAGGCCTTTTAACCCCCAAAATTAGCTCGGCCTTCCATTGCAGACTTCAAAATTACATCACGATTGCCAAAAAAACTTTATTGGAATTGAAAACATTCAAAACAGTAAATTTCTTTATTACTATTATAAAAAAAATTCTAATTTTTAAAAATTAAATTTAAAATGATTAAAGGAGATTTGGTTGGTGTTTATAGTCCACTCACCTCCGCTAATTTAAAAACATTAATATTAAATAAACAATCTTTCATTCACTTTTCTTATTCTTGTTTACATTGGTTAAAGCTTTACGAAGAAATTATTTAAAAGTTTTAAAAATTAAATTTTTGGGGTAATTTGAATTTTACCTTGATCCTTCTCCTTCTCAAGTACCCACTCTATTTTTTTAGAACAGATTTATAGAAATTTAAAAAAAATTGATTGCAGAATAGAATGTTATACTTATTTCAAATTTACAAACAAAATATCATAGGACTTTTAGCTTCATTTGTTCCTTATATAAGAAAAAATGTATGGGTTTTTTTTCCTCTTTGGACATTTTGTCACTTCGTATTTATTTTCATATAAAACTCAAAGAATACCTAAAAACATTAACCAGAAAATAGTTGTTCAATAAATCAATATCTCTATCAAAGTAAAAGGTATGATAAATGGACTGAACATGGAAAAAACATTCATCCCTCCACTTTGATGAGGCTAAAAAAATATGAAGTTGTAATAGCATTCATATATAATTCATATATTTTGACGAGAATAGTAGGTGAGCCATTTCTATTTTAATTAAATGTAAAAAAAATTTCTACCATTATTTTTAAATTTAAAGGATATAAAACTTAATTCAAGATAGCAAAACCAAGTAATGGTGGGAATAGAGCATAAAATATTTAAATTTTTGTTATGTGATTTACTTACATGTTATAAGTTGATTTTTAAAGTATACAGAAATGGTACAATATATCCTTTGATGGTGATGTCATAAATATTAAAGAAGAAGTAGGGAGACCGGGGAGCATGCGAGCCCGAAAAGGCAAACGTCAATAAAATTAAAACTAGAGATTTGCAAAGTTAGGTCCGGCCCGTACCCGGCCCGAGTCCGGCCCCTCGGGCCTAATTCTATTTAAATAAATCGGGTTTGGGCCGGGCCTAATATTTAAAAAAAACTTCGGGGGTCGGGTTGACTTTGGAATTTTTTTTAAATATATCTAAATTTATCAATTTTATATTGAATTTTTTATGTCAAATAAAAATATTTGATTTTATTTTGATATAGGGGCATAGTTGGTTTAATTATATCTTGGAGATAAATGTCTCGAAAGCCATCGATGCCTCCTGAAGAATCTTTTTTGAATGTCTTTATTGCTTCCAATATTTCTCTCGGTTAGTGGAATGGGATTATTAGATAGTGGAAGGATGATTTGTGAAAAATCTTGAGGATGTTTAGATTGCATGGCCATGAGAGTTATATCATTATTGGAGGCCATAGTATCGTTTGAACAGGCTATGTTGATAGCTGAATTTACATAGCATAGGTTTATTTTACTTTCAATAAGCTTGGCCTTTTTTTTATCTATTAAACTTATTGAAAGAATGTGGAGGTTGCTTGGGAATATCAAAGTAACTATTATCATTTGAATTTAATGTTTTTTTGATGCTTTGTGTTAAGTTTGATGATGTTGGAAGATGTAGATTTAAATATATAACTGATAATAATTTAATCCAATTATCTAAGCTTTTAATATTTTTATTTATGGTGGTTAAAATAGCTAAAAATTTTGTGAAAATATAATTCTGGCACCTTTTGGTATACGAGCTATTGTGGGGGGGAAGGGGGGGGTGTCTTTCTTTCATAAATTTTTCTAGCCATTCTTGTGCTTCAGCAATAAAGGTTGAATTAGTGTTATTTTCTGGGCACGAAGATATAGTTAAAGGGATTGTTTCTGTGTTGAAGGTATTGTTGGAGCTTGATGTTGTAGTAGGTATTGGTTCCAAATTAATACTATTAATAAGAGCAGGATAAGAAGGAGGCATAACAGGTTCATTGTTGTTAAAGACAGCACCTGATGAAGGGCATCTGTTGGCTCGTTTACCATGACAAATAATTTTATTTCCTTTTGTTAAGGAAACATTCTTAAGGCATGTGGGACATATCACCATGGTTCATATTATTGTTATGTATGATTATGTTTAAAGGTTACTTTATATTGAAGATTCTTGATATACAAAACAAAACTTATCTAAGATTCAATCAGGGACAGCTGGTGGTTTGATGAATTATAAAATTATGTTGTTGTTTAATTAAACTTGATTTATATCTTTTAACTTGTTTTCTTCATAATGGTTAGCTTATTAAATTTATTAATATAATTATTTCTTTCTAATATGATTTCTTACCATATTCGAATTTCAATAAGCAAAAATAAATTTTAAAAATAACGCTCAAAAAGCTCATATGAACCTCTGAAAAGTAGCCCCAGACCCTCAATATCTTAAATATTAATTTTATGGTAGCTTTAACATATTTTTTGTTTAAATAAAGAATAATTTTATATAGAATAGGGTTAATCTTTTATATAATATAGTTGTTGGATAATTACAACCTTTATTATATTTGTTAATTTAAAAAAGTTACTCTAGGTTATAAATCATATATTGTGTTATAAAAATTTTACATATGATCTGATATTGAAAAAAATAATAGCCGCATTTATACATATTTGGTAAAAAAAATTAACCATTAGAGTTGAATACTCTAGAGAAAACCTCTAGGCACATAAGAACCTTGGGCTATAAGATCCCGGTCTCTTTTAAAGAGCAAGATTAAGCTAATTAAATCACGACATCAAAGCATGATGAAAAATCTTCTTCTTATTAATTTATGAATTTTATCAATGGGAATTATTTACAATTAGATATTGCTATTATTATAAACGTTTGCACTTTATTTCTTTTATCTAAATGATTAATTTAATTTTCTTGCAATTTTAATTTTTAAAATATTTATATATTTTTTAAATATTTTATACCATTTTGTAGGTATTTTTAATTTCCTAAAATAAAATATCACGGTAGAACATATATAATATCAGAATGATCAGAAATGTAACATTGAAGTTCTTTCGATTTCTGTTTTTACCTTCAGGCTTTAATTTTCTCTTTTTATTATGCATCCTTAAGCTTAGAATTTTTTTCACTCATATATTTTTGTTTATTCCATGATCTCGTTCACATATCACCTCTCACAATTTAATTATATATATATTTTATTGAATTTCATCAAGGTGGATTTTCTCCCTTTATTTCATTTTCAATTTCCAATTTATATCATCCCTATTATGTGCCAAACTATTATATATCGTTTTTAACTCAAGTTCTTCATCTTCTTTAATTTAGTTAATATATTCTCGTTGCAATTATTATTTAAGACTTCAGGCAACTCCTGATTTGTCACAAAATTCCGAAATAGTATTTACCAATTATATATAAATTTCCTTGTGAGCCTTTGATTCATCTCTAAATATACAAACTTTATATTTTCCAGAATTTCAAAAATATTATTTTTTACAATTTCCCTTTTAAAATTTACAGGAGCTTTATTTTCCATAATTTCATTTTTCTGGTTATAAAAATCTCTAATTATTTTAGGCGTTGCTGATATTACATATTCCTTTTAACTTCAAGATTGGTGTATTATAATTTTTAACATCTACACATCCGTTAAATCATTCTTATATATCGGATAATTATATTTTCATTTTCCCTCTTTTCAAATTTTATTTTATTATCATACTCTAATTTATTATTAGTTAACATATCATTAATTTGATCATAAGGTTTTCCAGATGTATTAATCTTTATTTTTTTCCATTTCGCCAACATATCTGGGCTATCTACTGCATAATGTACAATAATATTTTGGCATTTAAATGTTATATCCAATGCATTCTGTCATATGTTTCTTATTCATTGTCTCTAGCTGGTAAACTTCTTATATTCATATTCAGTACTATGTATTAACCGCTAATGTTTTTACTTGTTCATAACATTTGCTCTGGCTCTGTCCCATTTTCCAATTTTTCACAATATGCTATACTAGATGCATCTTCTACTAATATAATGGTTAACAATTCTCTAAACTGAGACCCATACTTCCACTTTTACAACTAATTTGCGGCGCTCTCATCTGAGTTACTGCATTATTACAACTCTCACTGATGTGTCCATATTCTCCACAAGTATAACATGGTCAACTCTTTCCCATTCCAACTGATTAACCCATTTTATTTTCCTCTCCGTACATATTCCTTAAACCATTTTCTCCTTGATTTCTATTATTATTCAGGGTCCTTGGTTTTGGGTATGCGCTGCATTTTTATTTCTTGACTCATGAATTACTATTGTCTCTTATAATTTTTAACCTGCAATTTCAGTTCTTCTCTTTTTTCTAATTCTAATTTTCCTTACAATTTTTCTTTTTTCCTTTTCATCCCTTTTTTCCCTTTCATTTATTTCCATTTCAATCTTTCCAATTCCACTTCTTCTCTAAATTTTATTTCTTCCATTTCCTTCTCACTCTTTCCAATTCCCAATCTTATGTTTCCATTTTTACCAATTTATTATTTATAATTTTTATTTTTTTCCCTTCATAGCTCTAATGATACCTACTTCATTAATTTAAATTTTTTTCCTCCTTTATCTCTAATGTCATTATTTACAATTTCCATTTTTCAGTATCACTAATGATATTATCTTTTTTTCTATATCGCTAATGATATTTTTTTTTAATATTTCCATTAACTTTCTTTAAATTTAATCATATCATTAATTATTTTTTCCTTTTCTCCCACATGTTTTTCTTATATATTTTTTTAATTCATTTTTCCTCCATATTGTATAAACTACCCCGATAAGCAAAATTCATATTCATCGTAAGAAATTATTCACATGAATTTGGTTACCATATTCTATATATTTTTAAACTTTAATAGTGTTTGTGATTAAACCTATTCGTTAATTAACTTTAAATTGTTTTTATATTTTAATTTTTATTCATTTTTATCGCCGTTCTTTCTAATTGGTATTTTTATATTTTTTATTTCAATTTTTATTT